CAACTCATAAATACATTTATTTTCTACTATTTCATTCTTATTGCTTCAAGTTCGTATTTAAATTACCAATTTAAATGTAATTAATACTATAGTATACAAAGATTTTGCTCTATTTTCAGTAATTAAAAATTAGTACAAGATTCAAAAATTAAAATAATTGAGAAGTATCTAATTATGTAATTATAAAACAGTACAAGATTTAAATTAAAATATTTCAAAAGTATTTGCTATTTTATCTGTAGTAGAAGTTGATTTAACTATATATCCGACCATTAAAAATATAAGTAATTATATTTGTATATTGTAAAAGTTGGTAATCTAACTATTAGATAATAGAAGTAGCTCAAAGGTGATTGATCACATCTCGAAATTTTAATTTTTTTTTTAGTAAAATTTATAGTCTTAAATATACCATAATATTTTTGAGACTACAAAATAAATTAATTGTTTTTGAAGAGTAACATGAAAAATTAAAGGTTACATTAATTTTTAAATATGAAGGTATCAATCCATTTTGCAACCGACTAAAAAAGTCTCATAAAAATATAATGCAATTATCATGAAAAATAACGAAGAATTTCAATTGGTTTTTATGGGTCGTTCACGAAACTTCATGTTTTTGCTTAGTTAAGCTATTTATAAATGTGAAAGAACGAAGATAGAAAGTTGAATAAATAACAAATTTACGGCAGTTCCCTTGTGACTCCTTATCAATAATGTTCTTACGTTAGTTAAAGAGTTTTTGAAAAATAATCTCAATAAATTTTGTGTTTTTCTCCGGAATAAAAAAAATATTGCATTGAATTAGCATTGAATTTAATTTAGTGCTTCTGTGCACGAATATAATTATATAAACATTTTCTTTACATATTTTAAATAACGAAAGGATTTGTCCTAAATATTAGGACTTTTTATATATTTCAAATAAGGAAAAATTTAATAATTAAATTTCTAAATATTAGCAAAATAATAAAATGACTATTTTGTATTGTGTAAACTCTATTTTTTAAAGGGTAAAAAAGACGAATGATATTTCGCTAAGGGTTTTTGCGCTTTTAATATAGTACTACTCTTAGAATACACACGCTGCGCGTGTATTTCATATCAATAAATATGATTTTTTTATAAAAATTACATAGATATTTTTATAAAAGTGTCTGAATTATTAAATAAAAATTAAAAAAAAAATCAAATTCCTGAAAAAATAATGAACATTAATCATATTTATTTAACTCAATAAAAGAACATCTCTGCTTTACAAAATACCTTATTATTTGGAGTTTCGTTAGGGATAGATTTATCGACACTATGATAAATTATGAAACTATATGAAAACACTTTTGGAAAGTGTTTTATTAACATTTTTTTTAAAAAGAATAATTTGTGAGCTCCTAAGTTTTGCTTTTAAGTTTCCATCTCTTGGTATCTTGAAGCAGAAGACTTCTAATATCACCTTAATTATTGTTATTCCAGGTGAAATAACAATTCCTTATGTATTCTTGTGAAAATTAACTTAATCAACTTATAAAAGTAAACTTATTGAGATTACATTCCTAAATATTAGGAGTTATTATATATTTCAAATAAGAAAAAAATTTAAAATCAAAATTTTAGTTAATTTTAACGTCCTAAATATTAAAGATATTAATTAAATATTAATTTTCTCCAATATAAAATTTATTTTATATGATAAAAAGGTCGACCAATTTTGCATTAAAGTTTTGTACTTTTATAATAGTATGGATTGATTGAAGAAGACAAAATTAAATGAAATATTATTTTCCTATATATTTATTAGTTTTAAATTTTAGCTTCACATTATTTACCACGTAATTACTATAAATTAATATACTTTGTTGCAAATACTAAGTGGAGTAAAAAAGATTCTTCCAAAAAATTACTCATTGATATTAAAAAATTATTTTGTTCACCATGATAAAGCACCGTCATTTTTCAATTGCCATATATAAATTACTTCAAAGGAACGACTACAATTTTTGTACTAACGATCCAAATAATTGACTTCTATTATTTATTTAAGGTAAACTTTTAATCGATTTTAAAGTCCTACATTTTAGGTACCTAGTTTAAATAAGTATAGATTTAATAACCAATTTTAATGAATTTTGAGGTCCTAAATATTAGGATAATTAAATGACTATTTTATCCAATGTGAATTATATTTTAAAGGGATAAAAAAGGCGAACAATATTTTCCTAAGGGCCTTCGTGCTTTTAATATAGTATAGATATAGATAGATTTGGAAATCAAAGTCATTTCTTTAATTATGTTTTCTCGGATCATTTTTTAAATTCTTTAACTATAATCTTGTTCTTACTTTACTTGTGATATCTGTGTAAATTAATTTTTTTTGGATCAAAATTCGAAATACTATAGGAGGATAAATGATAGATGTAGGTGGTTTGAGGGGGTGATTGGTGGTAAAAAGAATTGGCCTAATGTGGGTCCCGTAACTTCCACATGTTCAGTTCATCCGCAACCCCATAAGAAATACTTAGTAGTGTGTTTACCTCGAAAAATATGAGTAACAATTAAAGATGATTTGTGATTTTAAAGATATGTGATTTATTCCAATATTAGTGAATATACAAGTAATATTAGGTTTAAGTAAGAAAAATTGATGAACCAAACCAGTGTTGTTAAAGCTACGTGGACCTCGAGCTCGATTATATCGGTGGCCTCGAGGTGAGTTAAGAGCAAATAAAGTAAGAACAATAAAGTTAAAACAATAAAGCGGAAGAACAAGCGTGGAGCACGAGAAAAGCAAAGTAGAATGTTCTATTGCAGTGAATAATGTATTTTTTTTTACAAATAATTGGGGTCCCCTTTATATAGGAGGAGAAAACTCCAATATAGTACATTCCTAATTGTGGTAAAGAATTCTATTGGTACAGGTGTATAACAATCTAGTACAGACCTGTACCGACTCGTACAAATCTTATCCTTTAATCCATGCCTTGATCCACGTGTCCTTGAGAGATTCCCGCTCTTTCTTAAGTGTCATCAAAATGGTACTGCCCTCGATATAGGTTGCGCCAGGCCTTCGATTTGATCCTTTGAGGTGTGTGCTTCATAGCCGGACCCGACTCCTACTTCGAGTCACTCGAACTTATAGCCCAATTTAAGACTTCGAATTTGGGCTCCTTGATTTTGACCGTATACAGATAGTCCCCGCGTTTCTTAGAATGAAAAGATAAGAAACGATCTGATTCTCGCTCCTTCGATGTCCCAATCATGACGTCTGTCTAGTGATGTCGGTGGTCCGTGTGACTGAAAAGTCGTGCAAAAGTTATGCCTACACAGTTTCGAAAAGACTTTAATGAAAGACGGCTATTGGTCGTGCGTTTAGCTTCTCCAACACGCTTAGACAGCCTCTATAAATACTTCAATCATTCACCCTTCGAACTTTTACTTTTACAATATCATCAAATCCTCTCTGCACTTATTCCTTCCTTGTGCCTATTTCTTAACCAGCTCCTTCGCCTTCTTCTGAATTTTCACAACAAAAATGGCAAAAACCTCTAAGACAGTTCCACAAAGAGAGAAGGCCTCTTCGTCTTCACGTCCGTCGAAGAATAAAATGTGGTACCTCCCAGTATTGAGGAGTGCACCCCCTGGCTTTGTGATACATCTTCTGATTTCAAGGCCGACAAGCCTGCTTCGGTTCCAGGACGATGTGAACCCATGTCTCGAAATATTAGCTTAGTAACCGAACTTAAACAAGTGAAGGCAGATTGTCGTTGGGGGATGAAGTGCACGTGGAGATCCTTTCACCCGATGAGGATATCACCACTCACAAAGCGGGATTCCTAAGCGTATACACATACCCATTTACCTTAGGTCCCATAGATCCTTCTTTGCCCTTTCCAGACCCAATGATCCTTGATTTCTGTCGACAATACCAAGTGACACTCGACCAAATTTATCCCTCCTTCTGGCGGATTGTTCACCTAATAAGGTACTTTTCAAGCAAAGTCGAGGGGATGCCTTTTACCCTCAACCATCTAATCAGGTTATTCAGCCCTCGTCTGTATCGAGGTGGTCTGATAAAATTGCAATGCCGATCTTCGAAGTCTTTCTTTGCTAGCATCAATGAGGATAAAAACCGAGGGTGGATGAGCCGCTTTGTTCGAGTCAGGACCTCCGATCTGATTCCTACTGAAAAGATGCCATTCCCCGAGGAATGGAATATGAAGTGTAAGTACAGACCTATTGAGAATGTTTCATTACTTAGACCTTTTCCCTTTTATTTGAACTAACTCCATTTTGATGATGCAGCCGTTGAATGGTACCCAGATACTATTGCGGACCTCCCGGGCTAGGTTCGGCAACTAGATTCCACTTTCACATATGCCGAGCGCGTCTGGCGCAATTTGGCCAAAGGCCGATGGGAGGCCAAAATTCACGGTGAGTCCTTATTATTTTCATATTCAAATCCCTTGGTTAAATACTCCTCATCAATACACTTAACTTTGCACTTGTGCAGGCCTCGGAGATGTTGTTTCGATGAGGCCGCCCCTAACTGGTGAGGTAAAGACCTAATAACCTACCAAAGATATGAAAAGAAGGAAAGGGTCGCCGGTGGATTCCTCGAAGCCAAAAAAAGTCCAAGCTTCAAAAACCTAGGGCCGATACGACGGCCTTGACTCTGGAAACTGTTGCACATCTTCGTGCTGAGGACGAAGAGAGAGATGAGGCTGAGGACGAAAATGATCACCCGTTAATTACTCAGAGAGGAAGAGGCACCGATCCTTCAAAGGCTGCTGAGCTGGAGGCCACCGAAGTGGTTCAACCTCAACTTGAGGAAGTTCTCAGGGGGAGCTCGAGCGACGTTCTCGAACTGACAAGTGGCAAGAAAGCGCCTCATTCATCCCCGAAGAGGCTGAGAAGCTTTGAAAGCAGGTAAACTTTGACTTATCAACTTCATTCAGAGTTTGATTCTTGCTTTTTTGACCTCCTTCATTTGTGTTTAGTCTGCGATGCTCTTCGATCAGGCTTTTTCCAAGTCTCGAGCTGAGCTTGCCCGATGTGAAGATGAGCTCAGGAAGCTTATGTCAGAGATGGACGAACTTAAGGTTTTCTATGCCAAAAGAGAGGGGGAACTCAATGATCTTCGAGCTAGTTCTGTAAAGGCTTCCCAATTGCGGACAGAGCTTGTCAAAAAGGTAATATAGCCTTTGTGGGTGTATTTTATACTTGCTTGTTTTGGCGTCTAATGTTCCACCTTTGCAGTTCTGGTAAAAGGCTGACCGGGTGGAGCAGCTTCGGGATGAGCTTAAGACCAAAGAGGTTGTAACCCTTGAGTGCAAGCAAAATATGGACCGATTAGCCTCTGAAAAAGATAATCTTCGGGAACAGCTGGCCTCGGCCGAGAGTCGGCTTTGGAGTGCAAAGGAAGAGGGTCATAAACTTAATGAGCTTCACATTGAGGCGGCCGCTGAGTTATCTAAGGTTAAGTCCGAAGCTGATACGTTCGTGTCTTCTTACCAAACGGATGTTGCAGCTGCCAATGCACGGGCTAGGGAGATATCTGCTGCAGCTGAGCTTAATTTATCTTTCACCGTCAACCATGCTCGGCTGGAATCTCGAAGGCATACTCTCGAGGAAGTACATGCTAAAGGCTTTGACCTTTTTGTAGAAATTGAGAAGGTGAAGGCTCTGGAAGAAGAGGCAGCTGCACTGCTTTCTACTGATAAGGATTCTGTCAGCGGCTCCGAGAGTGGGGATGATGAAGGCGAAGTCCCTGAGGGAGAAAAGGCCCCCATAAATCAGGCTGCCGAAGGTCAAACCACCGAAGATGTAGTTTCGGTAGATACTGCCCCCGAGCGAGTGACCCCGACGGTAGACTAGGTCCTTTTTAATTTTATGTAAGGGCTCAGTGGGGGAGTTTTGTAAATGTGTTTTGGACCATTTCTTGAATATAAATGACTTTTGCTTTATCTTTGTTTTTGTGTTAAATTCCACCTTGCCTTCACTTTTGAAATGAGATTTGGTGTTGTTGACGATAAGTCTGATGTATTGTACTTAGAATATAATACCCTTAGGTTTCCCCTTAAGGTTTGAACTTCGAGTCGAGTCTTATGTTAATTCAATGTCAGCTCGGGGTGAAGGACTTTTGAGTTTGGGCTAGGTAAGGTCTCGAGCAAGGTATGCTTCGGCCTTTAAGCTCCTTAAACATTGGCCCTTAGGCTCTTCAGAATTGGCCCTTAGGCTCTTTTAGGTTGGCCCTTATGCTCTTTTGGATTGGCCCTTAGGCTCTTTAGGTAGGGTCAATTCGTCCTCTAAAATGGCTATAAATTTTTCCCTCTTTCTGGCTAAAGACTTAGTGAAAATTTTGGTATGCCTTAGCATGTACTTTTGTATTCATATTCGTTTGATTTTTTTGAAGGTTCAATTTATTGGAACCTCGTTTGTATTTTTATGTGCAACGTTAATCGAATACCTCTTGAGATTTTTTCGAACGCTGATGTTATCGAAGCCTTCACATTATTCGAGGGTTGATTTTATTAAAGCCCCTTATAATTTGCTTTTGCCGAGGGTAGCCTGATTTAACCGGTTTTTTCGAAGTATTTGAAGGTCTTTAGTTTTATGGTGGAAGTCGGACGTATCCAAGCCGCATTATTCTGGCTATAGCCTTTTCATATGACCGTAGTCTTTTATATGGTCGTAGCCTTTAGTCCCCGAGTGTGATGGCCTTGGCCTTAATATCGAGGGATGCCTCTTTGAGGTTTTGTGAGCTTGAGTGTGCCTCTTTGAGGCCTTATAAATTCAAGTGTCTCTCTTTGAGGTCTAATAAGTTTGACTGTGCCTCTTTTAGATCTTATAAGTTCGAATGTTCGATGACTCGATATGTCGATTGTCGATAATAGTCCTCGAGTGTTCGGGTGCATTCAGGGTTTTGGCCCTTGAGTCGTTAAATGTGAAAATAGTAGACTTCTTTGAGGCACAAAGTGTTTTGATATAATAAGAGTGCTTCATCAAATAATTGATACGTGTGTACATATTTTGCCGCTGGGGGCTCGACTATTCTATATGGACACGGTTTATTTGACCGTTTGGCCCATTACAATATTCCCCTATCGAGGCCCTCCTTGGAATGAATTGCTTTCTTCAAGGATGCGTCCTCCGAGGGTGATGCCCTAGTGTTCCAGGTTGATTGAAAAGAAGCCTTGAATACTTGTTGAATATTCTTTAGGTAGCATATAGGTGTTGCCTCATTAAAAACCTTCCCGGTAAAACCCATTTGGGATAAAACCCAATCTAAGGGAAAAAAGTGCAACACGTGATTTAAAACCCAAGGTCTTCGAGTTGAAAGGTGCCTCGATGTTTCCAATCGAACATCTACAAGGAGTTAGATTTAAATACGAATGGAAAAAAGGGAGGAAGTCATACCTAAGCAGTAATAGCATTTGAGCAACGATACATTCCAATTGTTTGGTAGTTTCTCGCCTTCCATTGTGCTAAGTCTATAGGATCCTTTTCCTATGACTCTGAGGACACGGTACGATCCTTCCTAATTGGGGCCTAGTTTCCCTTCAATTGGGTCTCGAGTGTTGAGGGTGACTTTCCTTAGGACTAAGTCCCCGACTCCGAAATATTGAAGGTTCGTCCTTCTATTGTAATACCTTTCGGTCCTTTGTTTTTACGCGGCCATTCAAATTAATGCGGCCTCACGTTTTTAATCTAGTAGTTCGAGAGAAGTGTTCATAGCTTCGTGATTTGAGTCCTCGGTGGCATGCTGAAATCTGATGCTAGGTTCCCCGACTTTGACCGGTATCAATGCTTCGGACCCGTATACCAAAGAAAATGGGGTCTCCCTCGTGCTGGACTTTGACGTCATTCAATATGCCCATGGCACCTCGGGCAATACTTCTCTTTATTTTCCCTTTGCATCATCTAATCTTTTCTTTAAGTTTCGAATGATGGTTTTGTTTGTGGACTCGGCCTAACCATTTGCACTTGGGTGGTAAGGTGCTGAAAGAATCCTTTTGATTTTATGGTCCTCGACGAATTTTGTTACTTTGCTGCCAATGAATTGTTTCCCATTGTCACATGTTATTTCGGCAGGTATCCCATACCGAAATATGATGTGGTCCTATATGAAGTCGATGACTTCTTTTTCCCTTATCATCTCAAAGGTGATAACTAGGGATTATGATGCATTGTACACTTTTTCTTGCTTAAGTTTGGATTAGAAATGTGTACAAAATAGTCCCAAAGGCTCACAAGTTGTGCTTGATTGCAGGTTTGATCAACAAGGTGACAAGGTGTCAAAAACCAGCTCAAAAATGAGTGAAACTTGCACAAGTACCAAGACAAGATCAAGCTTAGTCAAACAGGGCCAGTGCGGTCCACAAAGATGAGGTTCAGAGAGGATGCTTTTCAGGCCACAAGGCAATGCAGCCGCAAAGGGTTTTGTGTCGTCCGTATTGGGTTCATTGTGGCCGCACTCATTTTCGTGCAGTCCGCAGAGCCAAGGTTCAGAGAGGTGGCATTTTGGAGGAACTGACCAATGCGGTCCGCAGTCCTTTTTGTACGGACTGTAGTAGAAGCTATCGCGGCCGCGGTGCATTTTGTGCGGTCCGTGGTGGCTAACTTCAGAGAGAAGAATAGTCAAGCCAAAAGCCTTAGTGCAGCCGCACTCGATTTTGTGCGGTCCACACTAGCCCCGCAGGGGTATTTTTGTCCAAAATTTTCAACCTAGTATAAATAGTTTCTTTTCCCATTTTTAGGTCATCACATAGTTTTGTACGTAGAGCTGCGCTCGTGACTTCTTCTCTTTTACTATTTTGAGTAATTTTAGCTTAGTTTCAACATTGAATCTTCAAGTTTTATTTAGAAATTAATTAATATGGGCTTTTCTTCATCTATTGCTTTATTTTCTTCTCCAATTATGAGTAGCTAGACCCATTAGCTAGGGTTGTGGCTCAACCCTAGTGTGGGTAATTGATGGGTCTTGTATTTTGATGCTTGATTGCCTATGGGTGTTTGATATTTGGGCTAATTTAGGGTTTTAATGTTGAATTAGTAATTGCAAATACTAGTTTACGCCTAGTAGACTTTGCCTCTTCTTTAGAAAGAAAGTCTAAGTCCATAAAATTAGTCCAACAAGGAATTGGGGCGTATTCAAGAGATTGATAGCCCCAATTAAAGGGTTAAACCTAGAGATAGTAATACCCGACTTGAATCTTGATTGCTTGCACAAATTTGCATACCCAATTGGTCTTGAGAAAGTCAATTCGGGCAAAATCACTCAAACTACCGAGAGGTATAAAGTGAGTAGAATCGTGCAATGGTTATATCATACTCCCCAAACATGACAATCTAGCTTTATACTCAAGAATCCGTCATTTGACCACCTAGGAGAAAGTCACTACCCTAGTGCCTTTTATCTATTTGAACAACTCGCAATAGTTTAATCTTAGCTTCACTTAGCCTAATTTAGCATTGTAGTATTATAAAATTAGAATTAATATCAAAACCAAAAATGTTCAGAAGTGCAATTAGGAACAAATACACAACTCCACTTTAGATAGAAACTCAACTCCAATATCTAGCTCCCTGTGGAAATCGATCCCGACCTTCTCGGATAAAAGTTGCTTCGACCAATCTTGCTACTCAATAGTAGTACATGATTGGCCTCGATCACATTTTTGCACCGTTGCCGGGGAGCTAACGGTTTTGGCTATCTATCTAAATAGTTTTGTGTATTGTTCTACTTTCCTTCTTTGTTACTAACTTGTGTGTGTCACAACTTCGGGTACAAAATGGCAGCAAACTTAAACAACACACCTCTTGGAGATCTTCCGTCGGGGGAGGAAGTAGATGACAATGTCGAAGATGAGGTCCCTATTGTGCCTCAAGGACTAAGGAGAGGCCTCCAGGCCAATGATAATATTCCATACCCTCCCATGCCACCTCCAAGAGTGGCTCCTCGAGTGCTTCCAAACCAAGGCTATGCAAGTGCAATTGTCCCACCCCGGATTCGGGCGGGCAATTTTCAAATTACCAATGTGATGTTGACATTGCTGGAGCAGCGTGGGTATTTCACAGGCGCTGCAAATTAAAATGCTTACAAACATCTTAAGAGGTTCGTGGATACCTATTGGGGGATCAAGCAAACTAATGTGTCCGAGGATGCACTTTGATTGAGACTCTTCCCATTCTCACTTAGAGGGAAGGCATTGGATTGGCTTGAGAGACTTCCCAACCATTCCATCACTACCTGGGATGAGTTGGCGGACAAGTTCATTGCAAAATTTTTCTCACCGGAGCTGGCAGCATTGAGAGATGAGATCTTAGCTTTCAAGTAGGAGCCCACTGAACCTTTGCATGAGATTTGGGAGTGCTATAGAACAATGATGAAGGAATGCCCAACAATGATATGACTGAGGTAATGATCCAACAGACTTTCTACTGGGGCATTAACACGACAAACCAATTCATAGTGAGCCAACTCGCTGGGGGAAACTTCATGAAGTTGTCTTATGATGAGGCTTGTGACATTCTTGATGAGATAGCTGACATTTCTTCTGCTTGGCAAAGTAGAGCCAATGTGCCCCAGGCTGACCCCACGGTCACTCATTTGCACAAGGAGTTACATGATCATGGGCAGGCTATAACTGAGTTGACAACTATAATGAACCAACTTGCAAAGGCACAATTGCAACAAGTTCAAAATCCTCTCCAAATAAATGCTATGGAGGGTTTCAACATGCTAGTCAACAGAACCAAGGGAATTCAGAGCAATTTGACAATGATTGTGGTGGATTCCAAGATGATAGTTATGATGGGAAAAATGAAGAGGTACAATACATGAACAATTATCAAGGCCAAAGGGGCAATTCTTC